ATTTTAAGGCTTAGCTATGCTAAGTGATTTAATCTAAATTCATTGCTGTTTTCTTCTAAAAGACTGGCAGGAATAAACTCTGGTATCGCCCTCAGTGTCCCCTACACACACAGAAAGTTGATGTTAGGCAAATATTCTGATAACTTCTAATACCCAGTTAGATGGTCATCCTAGAGATTTTGAGTTGGCTATAGCTAAAAGGCCTTATTTTAAAAATACTAAATGGGGATAACTTCTTACTCCATTGTAATTTTTCAGGGAGACAGTGCTAATAATAAAACATCTTACTGAATGCTAGACGGTGGTGTAGCTCTTTATATTTACTTTTCAACAACTTGATGAAGTAGACACTGTTATTAAACTCAGTTTGCAGTCAGGTGCCTGTAGTCCCAGCCACTCAAGAGGCTTAGGTAGGAGGATCACTTGAGCCCAGGAGTTTGAGTCCAGCATGAGCAACATAGTGAGACCCTGTCTCTAAAAAAACAAAAACACTTTCCTGAAGCCAAAAACTCAAATTGCGGATGAGGAAACATTCACAAGAGGTAAAAATGACTTGTCCTGCCCCATGTGTGCCCATAACCGCTGTGCTATAAAGCTAAAAGAACCACATGATCCTATCATTGTTGCTAGCTGTAGTTACTTGGCTTTTACAAAGTTCTGATGCCTAAATTTATTTGTGGCATTTCTTTATTATGTCTAACCCTAAAGGATCCCAAGGTATCTAGCCAGGAATCTCTACCAATATATGAGATTTAGAAGGTAAAAATCCTTTTTAACAAGTAAGTAGCTACCCAGCTCTAGTTAGAAAGTGAAACATGTTCTCTTAGCGATTCATAAACAGTTAATATGAGAAGGTAGGAAGGAGATCCTGGGATCTTGGTATTGTCTGAAAAGCTGTTTACCCACAGGATAAATTATGCCTTTATCCCTCAGGGGACTTAACACTTTGACAAGGTATATTAAAAATTTAGTTGTCTTCTAGAACACTCCTATAAGATAGTTAATATTAATAGCCCAATTTATGCAGGAGATACTCTAAGCACAAAAAAGAATGTTGTGTCTAAGATTTCACAGTGGCTCCAGAATCAAAAAATACTCTTCTTGGAGTTTTGTGCTTAGTTGATATTGCCTGGTAGTCTTTTATTTCTAAGAAAAACCAAACTGCCAGGATTTGAATTAGATGCTAAATGCTTTGCAAGCAAGTACAGAGCATTAAGCACAGAAAAGTGTTTCCCTTTTCACCTGGGGCCTCGTTATCCAAAGCCTTTTATTTAAATCATGTAGTTCCTTTTAAAAAAAAAAAATCATTCTTCTCAAGGTTAGTCTAAATCATGGAGTCTCCTTATTTTTGTGTCAGCAAAAAATAATAGATGCATAGAAGATGACTTGTTGCTTTCCAGGTGTCTTAGTATTTTTCTTCAGCTTTTTTAATGAGAACATCATCTCCACCTCTGCTGGGAAAACAAGTCATATTTTTTCACATTGGCAACTTTATCCAGTTCCCCTTTGAGCTAAAGCAGAGCTATACTGTAGTTCAAGGAAGAGAGATTTTAGTTCTTTCTGAAGCCCTTCACTTCACCTTTAGACAACTGGAAGAAACAATTTTAAAATTTAGGCAATTTGGCTTTCTATTACTAGCCTAGATACTTAAGAAAATCACCCTAGAACCTAAGCCAGTCTGTTTTTAACTTTTAGTGTAAGAAAGTTAGTATTAACAGTGCTAATCCTTTTTTTTTTTTTTTTTTTTTGAGTCTGTTGCCTGGGTCTTATTCTGTTGCCCAGGCTGGAGTGCAGTGGCACAATCATGGCTCACTGCAACCTCAACCTCCTGAGCTCAAGTGATCCTCCCACCTTAGCCTTCTGAGGAGCTGGGACTACAGGTTTGCACCACCATACCCGGTTTATTTTTTTATTTTATGTGGAGACATGGTCTCGTTATGTTGCCCAGGCTGGTCTCAAACTCCTGGTCTCAAGTGATCCTCCACCTCTACCTCCCAAAATGCTGAGATTACAGGCGTGAGCCACTGCGCCTAGCAACAGTTCTGACTGTAAAGCGTGTAGTTTTCATTCGATCACTTTGATGCCTACTTCCAAAAAATACCCTAAAACCTATATTCTTCCTTTTATTCCTCCAGTTTCTCCTCCCCATTCCTCTTCTCCCACTCTGTAAGATGTTGGCCCTACTTTCCTGAGTTGGAGGGCAAGGCATGCTTAAAATGCACAAGGTCTCTAAGTTGGGAGTCATGCAGGAGTAATTTTGGCTTCCTGGTTTTCTGCACATCGTACCCTATAAATGAGGCATTTGTTTGTATTGCAGAAATTTAAAAAGATCAGCCAATTAAGTTTTCACAGTGGGAAAAGGGTAGGAGAGAAACAGGAAAGATGCTCATGTTGGGGGAGGAAATCGGCTTCAGAAAACACAGAATTGCGCTGATTTCCAGCGTTCAAGGTTTGTCCTTTGCTTTGGCAATGTTAAATTTTACACAGCCCGTGTCAGGGTGGAACATGCTTTAATCACCATAATTGTCATCAGTATTTCCTCTCTGCTTTTAATATCAAGCTTATTTATACCCCAATTAAGAATTGTCTCAGAAGTGTAATGTTCTTCATAGTAAATTATGGTCAGCTGGGTGTACAGAGTTGTCTTATTTTAAAGCTCTTATGCTTAGCTTCCCTGTACCTAACAGTAGATACCACATGGTGAAAATAGAAGTGGAGGCCAGTCCTCTTGCAGGAGAATCTGGAGAAAGAAAAGAACTCCCGTTGCTCACGGCTTCTTTCCTATTAGTTCTCTGTGGGCACATAAACGCCCACACACCCCACCCCATCCTCTTTTTCTACCAAATGGTACTTCTCATTGCCTTCCAAACACACATGAGCATTCCTGTTCCCATTGCTATGCCCAGCACATCATTCTCCCTTGCCTAGAGTGCTGCCTTCCCCACTGATCATGGGAAGCCCAGAAGCTCTTTGGGAAAAGAGACCTGATTCAGATCCCAGATCTACCCCTAACTGTTTGACTTCAGGTTGCTTAATTTCACTGGGAATTGGTTTCCTTATCTGTAAAATGAAGATTATTAATACTTCACAAGGTTTTTATGGGGGTTAAGTGGAGGAAACGAATAAAGTGCACTCAGCAAATATTGTTTCCATTCCCTTTGGTAAGTCCTACCTGTTCTTCAGAATTCAGGTTCTGTCTGCTCAAAACTCATTCTCTGAAGCACTGACTTGGCACAGATGCTCCCTGACCATTGTCTGTTGTCTTGTATTCACTGTCTCCCCAAGTTGCTTGTAAGTTTCTTGACTAAAACTCTCTTGAAACAATCCTCAATTTCTGGCATAGCCTTATTAAAAATGGTAGCCTCCCACGTGTGACGGTGTAGAATTGGAATATGGAAGGTGATGCTAAGCTTGTGGTCACCTAACTCAAAACTCATCAGGTTGGGAAAAGTTTTGCATCCATTACATTTTCTTGGTACAATAAGGAACATTACCTGAGACGTCCTTTGTTAAATTATGGAACCTAATCCAGAAAGAGACTTCTTGTGCTGTCATTGGTACAGAGAGAACTTGATTGGATATATAAGCCTCTTTGAGGCAGCATACTCTAAGAAATAAACTTTTAGAGCATGTTTGAATGTTTTGGTAAAGGACAGTAGTTACTGGTACATTCTTTTCCCTCCCTCCCTCTTTCTTTCTGGCAGGGGTCTCACTCTGTTGTCCAGTCTGGAGTGTAGTGGCACAATCGTGGCTCACTGCAGCCTTGACTTTCTGGGCTCAGCTAATCCTTCCATTTCAGCCTCCTGAGTAGCTGGGACTATAGGCACACCCCACCACTTTTTAAACTTTTTTGTAGAAATAAGATCTTGCTTGCTATATTGCCCAGGCTGTTCGCAAACACCTGGGCTCAAGCAATCCTTCTGCCTTGGCCTCCCAAAGTGCTGAGATTACACATGTGAGCTGCCATACCTGACCTATTTGTACCCTCTTAACCAGTGAAATATCCTCTGATAGGAAAGTTGTAGCCTTCCACTGAATATGCATCTCCAGTGACAATGTCCATGGACCATAAGGAGGAAGAGGACACCTGTCCAACTAGCCAGATAAGCTAGCATTAACCATTTCTTGGCAGTCAAAAGAGAGACAAATCATAGCCGAGCACTCCACATTAAACACAACAATCTGGTAATATATTTCCCTACCCAGAGAATGACCTTCAGGTGGAACCAAATGGTGTATGCGTATGGGGGGGAGGGTTCCATATTAACGCACAATCCCTAATAGCATCAAAACCCTTTGACTCACTGACAAAACTGTAGTGGAAGGTCAGTCTTACTCTATATGTTAAAAAGTGTGAGAGTACCAGGGTTACATTCAAGATCTGACATTTTATGCTTAGATACATATTTATTAACATATCCAGAACTTGTTTTCCAAAGGAAAATAGGCACTTCTGTTACATTACGATCTTAAAGGTAGACTCTGCCATCAATCTCCTTAAATTCTTTGGTTTTTAAAAAAAGGTTCATAGTTGCTCACCTTTTGGTATATCTCATTTCATGCTATCATGCAAAATTAATGTTTTTCTCTGCTATAATTTATATCAGATTTATCCAGGTACTAATCTGTCACTTCTCACCTTTGATAGGCAAATAGAAGGAAAACTTTTTGTTGGTATTTTTAACTTCAAGGAAATATCTCACAGCCCTTATGAATGGAGTATAATCTTCAGGCATGATCTTTGTTGTTACAGTTTTTTCCCCCTCCAAGTATTTGATTCTTAAAGCCTAGCAGCTGAAACTTGAACTTCAGTGCAAAATCTCAAATCATGGTAATGACCTGGCTTTAGGCACGACAGCTTACTGACTTTCATTTGCTCTGCTGGAGAGAACCGAAGCTTGTCACCCTTTAGATCTTCTTGTTATTTTGGGACCCTGCGCTAGGGGATTACACAAGCGAGATGTTTCTAATATGTTGTATCTGTGTCTCTTGTCATTGAGGTAATTGTCATGAGAAAACCCTGGACAACAGCCATGGCAAACAGAAATATTTTGACAACTCACAGTCACTGGATGCTGCCGAAGAAGAGCCTTCTGAGAGAGGAACAGAGGAGGACCCTGTGCTCTCTGTTGAGAATTCAGGGAGGGACTCAGATGCCCTTAGACTCGAAAGTAAGTTGGTTTGACCTGAGCTGTGCTTCTAGGGGAAAATCATCTCTCAGGCTTTAAGCTCCAGCTTTTCTCTACTTTCTCGAGTGTGTTGCCTCCTAAACAGTCGCTCGTTATGCTGTGGAATCGTGAGGGTGACCTGCAGTGAGGCGGGAGGCAAACTGTACTGTGAAAGTGCTCCTTTTTCTCCATCTCAGTGTCTTCTTTTGCTAGAACACATTCGACTTGTGTAAGTACCAGACTGCTCATTGTCATTACTCTGCTGTGTCATTGAAAAAAGGAAGATAAGTTGTATTTACAGTAACCCAATACAATTTGAAGACTTGGAATAATGGGCCTGTTAGGCCCTGTCCTAAGATTTCATTTTATGACCCCATTTTGAGCTATGCAATACTGAACAGCTCTTGCTAAGGTTATCAGCCAACTCAGAATTGCCAGAATGAACAACTTCTTTTTGCTCTTTGTCCCACTTGACCACTTTATTGCATTTGGAACTATGTAAAACTCCTTAAAACTCTGCTTTCCTTGTGGTTTCTGGAATACCACTTGTTTTCAGCTTTCTTCTATCCTTGGATCAACTTTTAAAATTGACTTCATTTATTCTATATTCTACATAAAATATATTCTATATTCTTTATTTGTTGGGTATCCAGCATCCTAACTTTGATCTTCTGTCTCATCCCTCTGCGTGCTGTTTCTTGGTGATTCAGATACCGTTGACTATACCAGTGACTCCAAGTCTGTATTTTCAGCTAAGACATTCTCTGCAACTCCAGACCTTATTTCTCCCTTGTTAAATTGTATTTTTTATCTGGATGTGCCTCAGGCACACATCCACTTAAACATGCCCAGAATTGAACTTCTCATTTTTGCCCTACTTCCTGACATGCTTCTAATTTCTATATGCCTGATCTCTGTTGGTGGCATCACAACTCACCCAGGACCACTATATTCAGTGAATCTCTAAAACCAGTGGAATCTATCATCTCTTCATCTATTCCCTCTGCAACTGCCTGAGTTCTGATTTACTTTATTTCTGCCTACTATTGCAGTAGACTCTGAATTTTGTTCTCTAAATCTTATCTTTACTTTAGTTTGTATATGGAAAGAGACAAAGAGAGGGAGGGAGAGGGGCTGAGAGAGAAAGAGAAAGAGAAATATATAATACACGTAATCAATACAGAATTTAAAAAGCTGAAGCAATCACTGCTGCCAGTTTCTTATGTCTAAGAAGTGATGTGTGAAATGCACATGGGATCAGGTCAGTTGCCTGGCCTTAGCACTTTCATTGGCTCTCTATTCCCTCCACAAAGGGTCAGTCTCTTGGTGTGGAATATGAGACAGTTGGGCCCCCAGTTCCCTCTCCAACTGCACCACCTACCAGTTCTCTACAAAGCAGAAGGTTCAAACCTTTCACCACACCCCTCTCCTGCCATGCTGTTTTGAGCCTCCTTGTCTTTTGTGCAAGTGAGAAGTGGCCCCTGTACACTCTTTGCTTTATATGGGCAGCTCCTACGCATCTCCATGGTCCAACTCAAGTGTCACCTCCTATAGAGGGAAGAGTTTGCAAAGGGCTCCAGGCGTTTAGGTGCTCCATCTGCGCCTGGCTTCTACTCTTGGTCGAGACACATTTCATAGACTGAGTTGCTTGTATGTCATGTCTCTCATCAAACTATGAGCTTTTTATGTACCATGTCCTACTTAACTTTATTTTTTGTGGGTATGGTAAACATTTATTAATGAAGTGTGACACTTCCCTTCCTTTGTAGGTTGGATTAGCATAGTAAGCAATTACAAAATCTTGTTTTCCTTCAAGGGTATTATATATTTTAAAAAGATGTCTAGAAGAAGCAAGCTAGACCTCAAAGGGGAAGGTGTGCCCTTCACCTTTGCATGTTTAGAAAATTAGTTTTATTATTTCTGCCAGAAATGATGGAGCTTTAAGGGCACAAATTTCCATTCACCATTTTAAAAGAGATGGGTTCGTAAATTAGATGGCAGTTTCTTCATTTCCAGTGGGGCTGCACTGCTCTCTGTTGCCTGGCAGCCTCATGACTCTTTTGGGCTTCAAGGTACCCACACAACTAAGTAGACATCATGAGGTTCCTTGGTGAATTCAGAATCAAAAGAAATGAAACTGAGTAATGTTAAGGGGTATTTTATTTTGTTTATAGAGATTGTTCCGGCCGGGCTCGGTGGCTCAGCCTGTAGTCCCAGCACTTTGGGAGGATTGCCTGAGCCCGTGGGTTTAAGACCCACCCGGGCAACTTGGCGAGACCTTGTCTCTACAATAAATTTTAAAAAAAAAACTAGCCGGGCATGGTAACAAGTGCCGGTAGTTCCAGCTACTTGGAAAGCTGAGGTGGAAGGATCACCGGAGCCCAGCAGGGCAAGACTGCGGTGTCCAAGAGCGTGCCACTGCACTTCAGTCTGGGTGACAGAGTGAGACTCCGACCCAAAAAAAAAAGAAAAAGAAAAAAAGAAATTGTTCCTATTCCAAGACAGTATAACTCCCTAGTGATTAGGATATTTGTGACTGCCAAGGAAGAGTCTTCTTCCTTGTAGGATAATTCAGAGTAAAACCCAACCAGGCCGGGTGCAGTGGCTCACTTTCGGAGGCCGAGGCAAAAGAATCACTTGAGCCTAGGAGTCCAAGGCCAGCCTGGGCAATATAGTGAGACCTCGTCTCTACAAAAATTTTTAAAAATTAGCCAGGAATGGTGGTTTGCACCTGTAGTCCCAGCTACTGGGGAAGCTGAGGCGGAAAAACCATCTGAGGCTAGGAGGTCAAGGCTGCAGTGAGCCATGACTGGGCTACTACACTCCATCCTGGGTGACAGAGGATGACCCTGTCTAAAAAAGAAAAAAAGCCAAAATTTTGTTTTTTGTCTCCCCCTCTTATAAATATATCATTGCTTGAGACAGATCATAATATAGTATTTATGTTCCTTTAGTTACCTGTTCCCCATGTAGTCTCATTCTGTCCCCATACTGAGAATAAAGCATAGTTACCCTGACTGAGACTAGGTGTTTTCTAGTTCCCTTCAGCATCATGTCAACTGTTAGGGTGGGTTCCTTTTCAGAGTACCAATTCAATCCATTGTTTGATGATGACTCTTACTACTTTTACATCAATCCATTGTTTGATGATGAATCTTACTACTTTTACTACTACTTTTACTAGTTAGAGATATTGTCATGTCCTATCTTCACTACCTACTGATTTTTTTTTTTTTTTTGAGTTGGGGTCTCACTCTGTTGCCCAGGCTGGAGTACATAGCATGGTCACAGCTTACCACAGCCTCAACCTCCTGGGCTCAGGGGATCCTTCTGCCTCAGCCTCCTGAGTAGCTGGGATTACGATCACACACCACTATACCTGGCTAATTTTTTAATTTTTTGTAGAGACGAGGTTTCATTATGCTGCCTAGGCCAGTCTCAAACTCCTGTGCTCAAGTAATCCTCATGCTTTGGCTTCCCAAAGTGCTGGTATTACAGACATGAGCTACTATGGCCACTACCTGCTACTTGTTAAATACTTCTTAGCCTTCCCTCATTTATTTAAAAACAAACCAAAAAAATGCCTCATAGAGTGATTTTGAGTATGTAAATGAAATAACTTAGGGAAGCATTTATTTTAGGACCTGGTACGCAGTTGGAACTCAATAAATGTTCACTTTTGAAAACATGGGCATGACTCTACTGCTTCAGAAGTCGAAAGTCTTCACATGCATTTGTACATAGTAGATGCTCAGTAAACATCTGTTCAATTAGAGGGAGTCCTAACATACTCACATAAGAGTTGTTATAGGAACGATTCCCTGTTTGCTTTTCTAGATTATCTGCTCAGAGTTCTCTGTTTTTTCTTGCATGCTGACATCAGCTAAAAGAAGTGAGAGCACCACTGGTGCAAATGAATACTCATGATTGTCGTTTTACGCTCAGAAGTGAATAACTTAATCCGAGTGATTTAATCTAAGTCTTTTGTGCTTTCGATTATTGGCTTAACATTTTATGGCATTGTTTATACATGAAATCTTAAGCACAACTGCATCTTTACAATCTGACTTCACATCAGATCACTGCCATGGAAAGAGAATACTAAAAATCAAGACAGAATTAATTGCCCAAGGCCCTGTGATGTAGAGTCTTAATTTGGAACCAGTTTGTCTAGTTCCTTAGTGTACTTTTTCTATTTAGTAAGACAAAGGAACTTATTCCCTCTGCAGTATAATTACTAATGGTAGCATGTGCCTTGCTTGCCTTCACAAGCTTCAACCTAGAACTCCAGTACCTGTTGGTTTTAATCATGCAAGACTTTATGGAGGAGATGTTTTGAGTCCGATTTTGCTGGCCATCTCTTTGAGTGTGTGTCCTTTGGTCAATCTGCTTTGCTTTGAACATAGCACTCATCTTTCTATCCTCTGCTTTCTGAAGCCCTTCTGGAAGTTTCTCTCCCAAAGTTGTAAATACTGTTTCTTATCAAATAGTCACCTTCTTTTAATCAGCTTCTCATGTTCCTTGCAGGTCATTGACTGATTTCTGTTTCCACTCCAGGCTTCATCACTTCAGTCTCTCTCTGGATAACCCATTCCATTTTCATCTGATTCCAAAGCCTTTCCTAATATTGAACTAAAATATGACCTCATTTCTGGGTTCGCCTTATGAGGCTGCCAAAGTCAGTCTTGTTTTCCATTAATGTTACATTCTCTTCTGTGTTTGAAGATGGTTTTTGTTTCTGCCCCCTTCACTCTCCACGTCTTTGCTTCTTTTCAGCTAAATGTCCTCATTTCCTTAACAGCCCCTCTTATGTTATGACTTCTGGTCCCTTTACCATCTTTAAAATCATCTCCCTGGAAGTTTTCGAAATCTTTCTGGCAAAATATTTTTCAAGCCTGACTTTGTTTGTGTTGTATATCTCCTGCTCTTCCTGTCACTGGATTGCCCTTGGTTTCTTTAGTCCTTTTTCATTTAGTGTTGGTTTTGAGTACTTTCACCAAGTTGTGCCTTCCTGTGGTTGTGCTCTGCTTTGGAAATTTCTTAAACTGAGATGCCTAGACTTAAGTATTAATCTTGAAGTGTGTTTGGCACGTTGCAAGGTTGTACTGAGCTTTTTATTTTCATCAAGACTACAGTCACTTATCTCCATCTCCCAGCACTTACTCACTGTGATTCTTGACAGGTTACCCACATGGCTCAAACTCAACTGTAAGCCTTTGCAGTACCCTGGGATCTTCATTCAAGGAAAAAAGTGAATTCACTTAAACCTCACTGTGGGTGCTCACATTCTCTTCAACTTCATGATATTTATTTTCCTTCTTCCAGTGTGAAATTGGTACATGGGTGAAGAAGATAAAGAAAAAATCGAGTTATGGGCCTAAGGCTCTCTGTTTTCAGTTTGTGTCCCACCATCTGTCCTGCAAGCAGCAAGCCAAAGATTCACTTGTTCTTCTTGCTTCAAGCATAATCAAAACCTCTGAGATCCCTCTACAGTCCCGACCTCTCAACAAACCAGAATTCTGCATTTCTAACTATGTAGGACCATTGTTATACAATATTTGTTATACAGTATTTTGTATAGGGCAATGTCTGGAGAGACGGTCCTTTGTCTGTTTTCATCTACATTATAAATTGCATGGGTAATTGTATTCCCAGCCCTCAGCACATTGTTAGAACACAGCAACAAACATCTCAATGAATTAATGAATAACTGTCTAAAATCCCAACTCTTTGTCCTGTAACCTTCTCCTGACTCCATTGTCTTTGTAAATATCATTGTTTTCATGTTTACAGGTCATAATCCTATATTAACATAGTAAAAAGTCCACTGTTTCACATTAGGCTTTAAAATCTTGACATCTTCTTTGCTTTTTCTTCCTTCAAATTTCCTCACATACTTCCTCCCCCTCCTTTTTTAAGTTCCCCTTGTCTTCATCCTATGCTAGCCCACCTGATACTTGTAGTGGTAATTGTGAAATACCTCATTGTTCCCTTTGTTTTCTGTTCTCTCTCTCTTCCTGTGCTCAACACTCCTACCCCAAACACCAACTCATTTACTACTTTTAAGAATTTGACCTTCATAATTATTATGGCCCTCACCATGTTGTTTTTCTACTTAACAAACAAGAGTCTCTTTACAATGAATCCTCTTTGTGACTTCCCAGAAATTCTTAATGTCACGCATTTTCCTAAGTACCTTATTTGTCAATATCTCCTATATACATTATTCGTTCTAATTTGAAATTGATAGTGCCTTCACATATGTTGTCCTTATCTCTGTATGCATGTATATATGTATATACATCTGTATGTACGTGAGTCTATGAATACATGCTTTTCAAATAATGTCACTCTGGAGAGCACCCTTCCTGGTTCTCCATTCTGTCTTTCTAAATCCTGCCTCCAGTAGTCTGCCTTCCTCTAAGAAGCATCTTGTGATGACTCTGAAATATTTTTTCTTCTAGAAAACAATATTTAATTATTGGCTTATTGTTTAATCATGTAGTTTTGTGTTTTCAACTTGATTATAAATTGGTTAATTCCTTGGGGTCAGAAATCTTCCTATTATTGTTTTGGTCCCACCTACAGCTTATAGCATAGAGATAGGCACATAGTAGACTCTCAGTAAATAAAGATTGGTTTGTTATTTGCTAACGTTTATGATCTGCCCATTCCTCACCTTTAGGAAGAAAATGGAAAAATATGTGTGTGTGTAGTGTTGTTGTTTAGGAATTGCTTTCAGCCCAACCCCTGCAGCCTTTGGGAAGGCCTAGTGGCTGCCAGCAGCAGAAGCCTCCAGCAAGTCCCAACGTCTTTCTTCATTTGAATATCGATTTCTATTAATGAAAGCCCCTCTATGAATGTTTTGATAATGATATATATTACCATATGGTAGGGGCACAGGGAAGCAATAGCTTTTGGATACTGGGTTTGCAGAACTCTTTGTAGCCAAACGACATGCATGCCTTCCAGGCACTGCTCACACTGTTCCAAGAAGTGTGAATAGAACTTACTCAGAGGAAGCACAGCTTCCCAGCATGGCATCCTCCTGCAGCTCCAACTATGCACTGGGGACTTTGTTACTTTCAGTCTCCCTTTGGTCAGGAGACACTTTTCTTATGCCCGTATTTTTGGTGGGGTCCAAATCTATCAAAAACCCTTTCCTGTCTCAGGACCGGGTACAAGGAATCCCATGGTAGCCATGGGAGAAGGAAGGGAAAGAGCCTAAAATGAGATGAATACCTGGAGGCATCTCTGTTGCTACTAGTCATGCCAGGCACTCTTCGAATGAAGTTGCTGTTTGGGGTCCCTGTAAGAACCCTGCCCTGCCTTCCTGTGATACCTACTAAAAACTCTAAAAATCACGTGGTGTACCAAACTCTGTGCTAAAGACATGATGCCTGACTACTTTAGGATGCTTACCATACAGCTAAGTTGACAGTATATTAGTTGACTAGGTAAGCCTTATATTAATGACAAGGTCAACCTCAGAGTTCAAAAAGTTTTGAATTGCCAGCAGGACAAGGCAAAGGCAGGAGCAGCAGATCCTCAAGACCTCACAAACCAAATCATGCCTGAGTTCCCATTAATTCGTTCTACAGCTGTGTGTGTCTGCTGTGTGTCACATGTGGAGTTGGGTATTAGGAATATCGTAGCACACAAGATAGAAACTAAAATAAGAACTTTTTGTCAACCCTACATTTATACTACTGGCCACATAATGCAGCCAAGTAACCAACCACTTTTGTCTGAATATCCTAAAGAAAAAGCTTTGGCAAACCCATATGCTTTTTTCAGAACTCAGTTTTTAAAATAACAGTAATAAAAATCAGTAGAAACTGGCAGATTGGTTTAGAAAACCTAAAAGGAACTTTTTAAAACAGTCCATTTTATAGTCACTTATTAACAAGTGGAAGAACCCTGTAGCTTTTCCAGGAAGGAATAACACTTAGATATTTCTAATAGTACCCCCATCATGACAACAGACCTTCCTATTCTCTGTAATAGAAAGTGTGATGGGAGGTAGAGATGCCCGTCACCAGTGCTAAGGGTGACACTGCTGGCCTTCTGCAAATATAGCTCCAAGCTTTAAGTTCTTGTTAGCTCTAGTAGTAAGCCCATCTTTCCACCCCAAAGCTTTGTGAGAGACTAGCACTACACATTTCTAACTTGAGTTGCTCACTGTGGCTATATCTCTGGTCAGTGTGAGTATGGAAGTCCTGATACTGGCCTTATTACGGACACATTCTGAGAAATGCATTGTCAGGTGATTTCATCATTGTGTGAACATTACAGAATGTACTTAAACCAAGATGGTACAGCTACTGCACACCTAGGTTATATGGGATAGCCTGTTGCTTCTAGGCTACAAACCTGTACAGCATGTTCCTGTACTGGATACTGTCGGCAGTTGTAACAGTGATAAGTGTTTTTGTATCTAAACATTAAAAAGATTCAGTAAAAATACAGTATTATAGCCTTATGGAACCACTATCATATATGTGGTCCTTCATTGACCGAAACTTTGTTATGCACTGCAGTACCTTTTTACTATGTTCTAAATTCCTTAGCAAACCAAAATTACCAACTGAAGATTATGTCACTGGAATAATAGACTGACATTTTGTGAGCTGTCAACCCTGAACTCTCAGGTCGTCCTGGGGGTACATGTTTCAAAAGGAGACATTTTGTTATTTATTTTTGCACCCTGTCTCCTTCCCAAAAAGATTAGAGATGACTTTCATAGAATACACAGCATAGATGCAGCCAATCATTAAAAATAAACAGCAAAAGTTAAATAGTAAAGAATTTTTTTAAATAGAGCATTCTATTAAGAAACTCAGACTAATTTTGCTGTGCGCTTCTTTGTTCTTCAAGCATAGATTAGAACTCAGAGGGTTGTGCAGCCTTCATTGGGTAATAAAGGAAACATAACGAGTTGTCAGGAGAATTTTCCTGAACCATTGTACTGAGAGACATCCATGGGAGTCTATATACGAGACTTGAGTAATGTAAATAATATCTTGATAACCATCTTAGGACGAAATTAGTATAGTGCTATTTCTTATACCAGCCATTAGTGAAAGGGGGAGCCTTTGTGTGGAATTAGGATAGTTTCCATTAGACATATCATTCTTCAGTTAAGGCAATTAAGCTGGCTGTATGGGCTAGATATACTGCTATAATAGTTCATGATATTTGAATAAAGCTTGAGGAATCCCACATATTAAATAATTTGCCATAATAAACTTCATCCTTGCCATCTATGTCTTATATGTGAAGCAAGTATATCTTCTTTCAGAAAGTGGTTGATAGGTGTCCTCATGTTCACTAGTAACATAAACTGTGACTGCCTGCCATCTAGCTGCCATTTTTCTAGGCCTGGCTTTTGGCAAAAGCTGGATGACAGAGATGATCTTTTATTACGAATTTTGAAGATGCTGAATGGTGTTTTTATGACACGGGACTATAGAAGTGCCTCTAAGCAGAACCAAAGCTTTTCCCTCAAAGCAGGCTTGGAGTAACTCAGGTACTTGACTGAGTGCTATGTGACTTGTAATGACATTCTGGCCCTTGAATTTCAGGCACAGTGGTTGAGGAGAGCAATGGCTCTGATGAGATGGAGAACTCAGATGAAACAAAGATGTCAGAAGAGATACTGGCTTTGGTGGATGAGTTTCAACAGGCGTGGCCTTTGGAAGGCTTGGGGAGTGCACTCGAGATGAAAGGGCGGCGTCTAGACTTGCAGGGGATACGAGTGCTGAAGAAAGGTCCCCAGGACGGAGTGGCCCGAAGTTCTTGCTATGGAGACTGCAGAAGTGAAGATGATGAAGCAACAGAATGGGTACGAATTGGCCGGCTCCGTTCTCACAAACTCTAGCCCAGGTCAGCAGGGGCTCCTTGTTTACGAAGCACGAGGCTTCTGCTGGGATGTGGCGCTACTTGGCTCCACTCTGCAGGACAGCCTTCACGCGGGAATTGCTCTGGGGGCAGCTTGCCTGTCACTTGGGCATGGCCAGCGCTTCTGGGAGGCAGGAGGAAGTGAGATGAGCCTCTCTTTGTAGTTTGTCTTCAGGGCTAGGTTACTTTGTTCATTTCACCGGTCATTTTTCGTTAGACCTTTAAGAATTAAACTGAGCCGGGCTCGGCGGCTCAGCCTGTCGTCCCGCGCCTTGGGGAGGCCGCGGCGAGGGGATGGCCGGAGCCCGCGGGGTCGAGACCCGCCTGGGCAACTTGGCGAGACCGCGTCTCGACAGTCAATCCAAAAATGAGCCGGGCGTGGTGGCGCGCGCCTGTGGCTCCGGCGACGCGGAAGGCGGAGCGGAAGGGTCGCCGGGCCC